TTAGATACTTTGTGATTTGTGAATGCCACATGTCATCCATCAAGGCGGGTCTCACCTGATTTATATGAGACCTGGTCTCATATAATCTTTTTCCCATAATATCGTCTCTCTCTCTCTCTCTCCCACCCCCTTCCTTTTTGTGTTGTCTTGATTAGGATACCTACTAAACTTTAGAGCACTCCACCATGAAAACCAAACTGTAGCACCAGCCTTTAGCAGCTTGTCTTATATTTGGTCAGTTATTTTCGGAGCTTTTTAAGTGAAAATAAGCATAAGCTAAAAATAACTAGTATAACTTTTGCCTAGCTTATTTTCTAAGCCCACGTCTTTCCTCTTGATAGAAAAAAAAAGGAAAAAGGTACTTCCCGATCTTCTGGTTAGGTCATATACCCCATGGCAAGAAAATGTCCATAACTTTCCCCATGTTTCATTCAAATTGCAATTGCACCCTCTGTAGCGCTTGACCCGACTTCCTTTAGCTAGATTTATTGTGCATCGCCGCCGCTTAACACCTCTTGGTGCTCCCTCGCAACACCCCCCCCCCCTCCCTCCATCCCTCGGGGGACCTCTTTGCCTTAGCCTCTGACTGGTGTTATGCTCCACATCCGCTTTCGACTGGTTTTGTGCTCCTCCCAACCTTGCCTCGGCCTCCCATCAGGCCCCACCTCCCTCGCCTTCTTTGAGACTAGCCACAATGGGTAGTAACATAGAGTAATAACATGCCCATGTTACTACTCTATGTTACTACCTCTATATTGGAGAGTAACATATGTATGATAACATGCAACACTTTATTTATTAGGCTATAGACTCAACTTGCCTTGATATGTGTGATGTTACTCATACTATTAGGGCATCTCCAATAGTTTGTATGTTAGCTTGTTGGTAAAATATGCCATGTCATCAATCAACACCTTAACATACAACATCTTCAATGGGTTGTATCTAGTTTGCCCAATAGGATGTGAGATAATAAATAAAGTGCTCTCTCATTCTACATTGGAGCTTGTGCAAGGGGTGTTGGTTCATGTACATACATCATTTCTCTCTTTCCTCATTTATTGCATGACACATCATCAAAAATCTTATGTGGCAAAGTCTACCAACAACTAGCTATGTTAGGCTAGTCATAGTGGGGAGTAACTTAGAGTACTAACATGCATACGTTACTACTCTATGTTACTACCCTTATAGTGGGAAGTGTCATATGTGTAGTAACATACACATGTTCATTTATTGTCTTGTAGACTCATTTTGCATTGGTAAGCGCTATGTGATGGTAACATATTAGGTTACTCTATTTGCCTCTCTCCTCATTAACTACTTGTCACATCAATGTTTTTGCTTATGTGGCATCTATGTTACTTCCACTATGACCAGCCTTACCACATGCCTCGCTTTCTTCATTTATTGTTTGCCGCATCATCTATTTTATCTAGACATGTGTGATGTTACTACACCTATGTTACTTCCATGGTGGGTAATCTGACTCTGCTATGTTCATTTCCAACGCAGGTCCAATGTGTTGTCGTGTTTATTTCTTTAAGAACACGCATGAGCTTTGCGTGTCATTTCTTTAAGAGAAAAGAGATAGTCAAATACAGATTATGCTAGGAATATCATATGTCGGCTTCCAAGCGAATCTCCGTCACAAGGTTCGTACAATTACTCATCACACTCTTTGCTTGAATGTTCGTGTCTTCTGCAGAGGGGGAGTTTAATGTTGCCCGCCTAGCCACCTCTGTTATGCTGAGAATTACTGATAAAAAAACTTATGTACCGAGCTATCCGCACACGACTCCTGTTCACATTGGCTCTACGCCACAACCTAGCTAGTTCGAGTATATAGCAAAAAACTGTACCACATTACAGACTAGGTCTACAAAAAACGATCATTTTTTTAATCTATTAAAAAATTACCATAAAAGTGGTCTGCTGTTTCAAAAAAACCCAAGTGACTGAACCGTTAAGAATTAAGCAAGACTATGACATGTTTGGCCCACCCGTCAGGTTGACTGTTAGCTTGACCGTTGACAGGTGGCCCCCACGTATTTTTAAAAGGCAATCAGGTCCCTAAAAAAGCAATTTGGTCCCTGTAATTTTTTTCAAAAAAGCAATCGGGCCCTTTTCAGAAAATAATAAAATCCATCAGGTCCCACCGGCGACGAACTCGCCAGAGCCGAGGACACCGGAGGAGCTCGCCGACCACATCGCAAGGCGCTGCGGCTTTATGCACGTGTGTAGTGCCAGAACTAGGGCGACGGCTGCCGCGCCGGGGACAACAACGAGGCCTGCGCATTAAAGCTCCTCCCCGACGAGCAGTGTTGCGGCTTCGCAGTCGCCCGCCGCCAGGCCGCACGAAGGCATGCCCGCCCCTTGCATGGAGACGAGTTGCACGCCGCCCACTGCCTGCCCGGAGTCACTGCCTGCTCTGCTTCCTCTCTCCTCCATAGGTGCGCGCGCTCGGGGCTGTGGCGTGCTCACCCGCTCTGGTGGGGGAGGCTCCTGGGCGTGGTGGCCGGAGCAGCACACAGCGGCGAAGAGCGGCAGCGAGCAACACGAGGCGACGGCGGCAAGCACAACACCTACCAGCGGTGGACAGCAGCGGCGAGCAGCAGTGGCGGCGGCGGGCAGCAACAGAAGCACGCAACAGGGGCGGGCAATAGCTACACGCAGCGGCAGCTAGGGTGGGGGTGGGGCTGCTCGCCGGCGCGGTGCTCAGGCGGCGGGGTGGGGCTGTTCGACAGGACAAAGAAGAAAAGGGAGGAGAAGAAGATGGCATGTGGGCCCCACCCGGTCATAACGGTGAACTAACTGTTTACTTAACGGTGTTGACTTTTTTGCCACATGGAGCTGGCGAGCGGGCCCTCCATGTCATAATCCAGATTAAGACAATAACCATTCGACACTTGGGTTTTTGGAACAGTCCACCACTTTGTGGTAGTTTAAGAAAAATTAAAAAAGTGACAGTTTTTTGGACAAAAGCCTGTAATGTGGTTGTTTTTTGCTATATACTCTAGCTAGTTCCGTCCTAACCGGCTATCCAAAAACCCAGGCAATTTCGGTTCATGTGTGGTTTATTTCAGTTCAGTAAGGTTATAGATTTTTCACCAAATAACTCGTCCAATAAGAATAAGATGAGGCAACAAAAGCTACAAAGAGTTGAACTACAGTTTCTCAGTGGTTTATTTCCCAATGTTTCTGTTTGCAAGGGAGTTTAAACCGTTTCTGTAGAAACTAGAGAAAAAGAACTAACCATTTTATCGTCTAACATATGGTCAAAAAAGTTCTCGAGGATCATTGAACCAAAGACACTATGTGGAGATTATATTTTCTGTAGACATATGATACAAAAATCATGTCAAATACACCAATGCGTGGATATTTTGAAAAGGATGATTACCCCGGCCTCTGCATCTGGGCGATGCATGCAGCCATTTTATTAATTATTCAGAAACACTTTACAAAGTAGTACATCAGGTAGTCTGAAGCCACCATCTTAGCAACATCTATCGCTACCTCTATCCATTGATGAAGGGGTGCCGATACTCCGAGCGTAATACGAAACAGGCATCACACAAATGCCTAACATCTAAAGCCAGAGGCTCCAACCAAGCCACATAGCGGGTTTGGGGCACAAACCGGTCCGACGCACTCTCATGTGTCATCATCACCATCTTCCACCAATCCATCTTCAGAGCAAACTAACGCACCGACCTTGCAAGGCTTCTCTGCCATCGACGCCATCTCCGCGCATCGAACGCCGAGTCTTCACAGCACCACGCCGCCGAGATCTGTCACCTACGATGTGTAAGATGAAGCACCGCTCCACCAAAGAAGCCGCCCTCCTGTCCCTCGAGCCCGTGTGCACCTACAAAAATGACGCCCCAAGGGGAAAACGACACCAGAGAGCCCCGTCATCCGACCTACTGGTCTAGGGTTTCCCCCAAAGGTAGCAGGGAGTGTCCTTGAATTTCTCCATGATGATGCCTTCATGAAGGAAACAACGCAGACAGCGCCGACACCACCGGCCTTGGCAATAGACTATGGCAGGTTTTCACCCAGATCTGTTAGAAGAACCTTCATCTCTCGTGCACGGACCGCCGTCATCCCTGTCGGGATTAGGACGATCCAGGCCGTCGCTGCCAGATCCCAACAAGGAGAAGCCCCAATATAGAGACCCGCTGACTGACTCGGGGAGGCCGAGCCCGCGCCCGCAGGACCAGATTCGCGCTAGATCCATGCCCGCGTCGCCGCCCCGAAACCAACCCCACGCATAGCCGCCACAACCTGGCTGTCCGCTCGCGCCGCCATCTGGCCGCCGCGCCGCCCGATGCAGCCATGCGCTGCGAGGAGTGAGAGGCCCCGCCGCCGCCGACGCGCATCGGACTTCGCCCGGCGGCACCTTCTGGTGACGGCGAGGGGAAGGGAGGGCATAGGAGGCGGCCCCAGGATGTAGGTTAGGGTTCCCCGCCGCCGCCCGCGAGCACACCAATGCGTGGATGGGGTCTTAACTCAGTGGTCAGAGCGCAGGGGTGCCTCCTGGCTGGATCGGATTTGTACCTCGCTACATACCCAAAATACATTATCGGATGGTATTTGTCGACTAGGCATTGAAATAAGCAGATTTGTGTTTGTTTCTTGCTTTTTTAGCAATACCAATTGAACTTTCAAATTGACAACCAAATTACTAGCATTTACTGTACTAGCACACGAACAAAACTGTCCCTGGGTGGTGATGATGGTAAATTCTTTTACATGGATCGGTTTACTACATCAAGACGGAAGCAGAGCCGCCTGTATTTACAGCTCGCAATACGTACTATACGTACACGCGAATCGACAGTGGGTCATCACTTCTCCCTCCGTCTCCGCACGGTTGCTGCTTTCATATCATAGCTACACGCGGTCAAGAGCGAAGAGAGAGGATTCATCGATCTCGAAAACATCCTTTCCAAACCCGGCCATCAGGCAGCTCGGATTTTCTTTATTTTGAGAGATCAGAAGGCGCAGCAGGAAGAGAAGAGGCGGCTCCACGCGGCGGATTCGGCATCGGCCCTCCTCGTCCGCCTCCTCCCCCTCAGCTTCTTCCGGGCGGCGGCGTCAACCATGGCGGCGGTGGCGGCTACGTGCACGTACTTCCGCGGCGCGCTGCCGTCCATGCCGCTGAGCAGCTCCCACATGACGTGCACGTCGTCGTACTCGCACGTGCGGACCTCCCTGCGCAGCTCGCCAAGACCTGCAACTCATGGATGAATCACCACTCATCAGCTCCATCGTCCACGATGATAACGGGCAGGAGAGGTAGGAGGAGGATGAGGATGAAACTCACCGGTGGATCGACGGAGGCCGAGGCGCCCGCGGAGGCCGAGCCAGACCCGCTTTACCGGCACGGCCGCGCGGCGAAGGCAGGGGTACGACATGCTGCGCGCGAGCTCTCTAGCTTGGAGTGTGAAGATTGTAGTGCTGTCCGAGAGAAATCTTTGCCTCTGCCGATCAGCCTATCTGCCCTTGTAGCCGAAGAATTAATCAAGCAAGCTCCAGCGCGCGCACACACACACACTCTCTCTCTCTGTCTCTGGTTCTGTTTGTGGCGCCCGTTGAGGTCTGCTTTATAGGCGAGCTGGGTGAGAGAGAGAGAGAGGGGAAGAGGACCGACCGATTTCTTTCTTTGCTGTTGCGCTGTAGTTACTGTCTTACCGGACGTACGGCGTCCCTCGCCACTGACCTGACCGTCTGACGTGGACGCGCCGGAGTCCGGCGATTGAGCACGTGGATGGAGCATGAATGGCAGTCGGCGACGCTGGGTACGTCTCTCTGGCCGCGCACTGCGCACCAGGCCACCAGCGCGTCTGAACAAGCGGCTTAGGATTAGCTGAACATCACTGTACGTACTCTTCCAATAATTTCTACTCTACTCGATGCCATTTTGTTTTATCTACCTACGTGTTCCGTTTTCAGTTGCCGGAAAACGCGCACGGGCCGACGCGTGTCCCGGTAAAAATCTGCCACGCCCAGGAAGCTAGCGCTCCCGGCTAGGATTGGCCAGCCACTGTACGTACTCTTCATAAATAGTACTCCTGCATATGATCATTCGATTTCCGAAACAAACTGTTGGTCTTCCCGCTTTGATTATTTGGCCCCCTTGATAATATTACGATTAGGTAGTACGTACTCCCACCGTAAAGAAATACTATAAAAGCGTTTAGATCTTTACCGAGGGAGTACATGCATGCACGCCACCCTGAAGATGGACGGAGACACAAATATTTTCTGGACTGTTGCCAGCCGTGATATGGACAGTGGCGACGGGTGCATGATCGATTCCATACATGCATGGAGCCGTGTTAGTGTGGAGGAGAGTTTTTCAACGGTGCGCGGAAACAAATTCGGAATAAACTAGATCTTGTGCACGACTAGTAGCTATCTGAAGCAACGGCAGAGCGTCCGCCTCCAGTTTCACAAACTTAAAACGTACCTGTCGTCCCCAACTAAAAATAACCGTTACGTGGACCTTCGTGCTGCACAAAAAAAATGGACACAGCAGACAAAAGGAGCCGGATTTGTTTAGTCTTCTACGAATCCACTGATGTAGTTCTTAACTCCACCTGCACCAGGAGTGATTAGTGCTCAATCAGTTATCTCTTCCTCATGCTCTCCTTAATTTCCTTTCTTCTACGGTACTCCCTCCAATCTAACATAACTGTGGTAGTTTTAGTTGAAGAGGGAGTACCTTTTAAGATATCACATGCATGCATGCTATGATTGGTGTTACTTGTCCTGTTGCGACTTGCGATGACCGGAGTTGCAGCTAAATCAGGTGTGCCAGTCTGCATGATCCAACTAGTAGCAGTACTGTTCTCTTCCTTGATCCAATCATGCAATCGTGTCGTGTCACACATGGCCTCTATTTCCAAAGTTACAGGATGGTGTGGCCCATATCATAAAGCACGACTTGATTGCTGGTTTGGGTGCACACGTGATTCATCATGGTGAGGTTGCCCTACAATATTTGTGAACGGAGGGAATAGTATACATACATCCTACGTGTGTATGTTTCCAGTATTTTATAAAACTAAATGGGAAATGATTAATAAATGGGAAATGATTAAGACCACCCGACAGATAAGAATGCATGCGTCTGCCGCCACCCTAGCCGTTGGATCTGGTTTAATCAGACAGCCAAGACCAACGTATTACTAGATTAAGTTTTGCAACACAGTTGTTGCTGCGATCTCCCCACCGCAATAATTGGTGTGTTGCGGGATCTGGATCTGAATTGCTTTGAGTGCAGTCGTCACATATGCTCCTCCTGGGCTCTCTGTCAAGCCCACACCTTCTCACGCTGCTCCGACCATCACCACCGACGCTCGCCGACGGCAACACGCCGCCGGCAACACGCCGACGAGGTTGCCGGCGTGGGCGTCACCGCCGCCACTGCCCGCCTCCACCATGAGCATAGGCCGTCGCGCTGCGCCCGAACTCAAGCTGCACCAGCCATCCCGAGGAAGCACCGGCGTCCAGGTCCATCGAGGGAGCTGCGTCCACCATGACCCAGCCGTCCCAAGGGAGCACCGGCCTTTGTTTCGGCTGACGTGGTCGCTGCTTGCTGCTCGATGTCCAATGAGTTTCTGCAACAAGGTCTTTGTTGCAAAAAAAAAGTAGTAACAAGATCTTTGTTGTCAAAAAGAATAAATTTCAACGAGACCTATGTTGCAAAAAATATAAATTGCAACAAGATCTCTGTTGCAAAATAGTTGTAACAGGACATCAGTTGCAAAAATAATCTACAACTTGACCTAGGTTGCAAAAACTTTTGTAACATAACAAGTGTTGTAGAAATTTTCTGCAACTTGATGTGTTGCAATGACAGAAGATAATCCTTGGCCGCTTAATCCATCAGACTGGACGGCTCCCGAAGCGAAAAGATCCACCGACCGATGCGTAGCAGTGCCCAAACTAAATTTTGTTTTTTAAAAGGGAAACGTTCAGCGGCAATCGGCTGAAAACAATCGACGCATCCGGCACCTCCTTTAAGCGCCACGTGCCCTCAAGGCCTCATTTAAGGAAACATGAGTTATCTCTTTTTTTTGACACCTGAAACGGTAGGAGAGCCCCCTACTGTGTAATTAAATTAATAAATGGGTGGAGTTACATATGGTTTTGTACATGGCATCCTCTTTGGGGATGGTTGGGGGGAGGGAAACAAATTAAAGAGTAGCTACAAAAGAGGTGAGAAAGGAGGTGTGTTTTTCTC